CAAATATTATAGAGTTTATGTATAGCATTATGATAAAATAAGAGTGTTGAAGAAAATCAAAGAGAAATGGAAAAAGGAATATAGATGTGCCAATTTAATATCTTATTTTCAGTATTAATGTCTTCTTTAACATAGTATGACAGTATCTGGCTCCTGGGCAGTTGTATTTCTAGTTAATATCATGTTTATCAGGACCTCGTTTTTTTCCTGCTTAATTAGCAGAACCCACCTTACTGCAACCTAGGAAGGACCCAATGTACTGTGTACTGGAACTAAATTTCATGCTTAGAAAACCCTTAAGCTAAGGGCTGTCCAGACAGCTCAGTAGACTAAACTACCTGCTTAGGCAGAGTGCAGGGGCTGGAGTTCGATCCCTGGTGTGCTGTGCCAGCCCAGCCCCCAGGGCTCACTGAGCTGGCAATTGAGATTGGGCATGGTGGCGTGTGCCTGTAATCCCAGTGCTTGGGAGGCTGAGCACAGGCAGATCACTACGAGTCTGATCTACATGGTGAGACCCTGTAGACCCTGCAGACCCTGTACTAACCCTTGAGCTGGTCACAGGCACACCTGTGCTATGTGGCAAGTGAAGTGAATCTCAAGTAAAGCATTTCTGCAAATCTCTTGCTTAGTTGGCTACACTGGTTTTCACTCCTATTAAACAACCATGGGGTGAGGGTAGGACATCCTCTATTTTTTTTTTTTTTTAATGACCATAATAATGCCAAAGAAACAAGTCAAAAGTGGGAGGGACAATATATTTCAGAACATTAAGTACCTTTGGGTAAATTTATTTTCTAAATCTACTAGTAGTTGTGGTAATGAAAAACTATCATAGTTTATAAAAACTAAATTATTAAGACATTACTTCAGATAACTTAAAGGAAGCAAGTTTCTTGATGTATTCACTTTAGCATTTAAGTTAAGAATGGTCTATTGTGAGTCATTAATAAAAATTTGAGTGAGCTGAACTTTAAAGAAAACAAGGAAGCCTCTATCAGTTGAGAGGTACTCTCTATAAATGAGTTTGCAAACTATTTGAGACGATAAAATTATA